GGGGGGAGTGTATCTGTCCATTAGCTTCCTGCAAAATGAAGAGATTTATTAATGTGAGCAGGAAGACTAACAGCAAAAGCAACTCCACAACGACAGCAACAACAACTTCTTAAATGGAGTTCAGTCATTGCTATAGAAAAGCAGAGCAGAGTTTTCTCTACCTTCCAACCTGGGGAAATTGAAACTTACAAATTTCCTGTCAGGGCGCTGATAGTGAACCTCAAACACTCACAGCAAAAAAATAATTAAAAATTCTTAAGAAAAGACCCTGTTCTGACAACACACAGGCTTAAACATCTACATGAGAAACACATTGCAAGGTCAACTAGCAGAAATAGTCAAATCATTAATTCCAGCTTTTAATGAGGTTTTCCACTTGAAGAAAAAGTTGCTACCTGAAACTTCAGAAATTTTTAACGATATATAAACTACGGATCATAGAGCCTAGGCACTGGAGCAAGGCAGAAGATTAATATTTCTTGGGTTATAAAGTAACATAGCCACCAAGAAGAAACAGCGCAACGACTACAAGCTCCTGTCCTGCTGCAACCTACCAACAACAGAGCAAGATGAAACACAGAGTCAATGCACTGCAAATTAAGAGATGGCAATATATAAAGTCATTACAGAACTACAGAAGAGATATTTAAGAACTGAACTGCAAACTAGGACGTGATTGCAAGAATTGATTTTTTTCTTTTTTTTTTGCTTTACTTTTATTTATTTTAAGAAAATGACAACTAGACTATGGTACAGCTTCCACATGAGAATATTTCAGCTTGGTAACCCAGACATATGAAAGGGCAAATCCAAATAGTCCAATAGAGAATTTCCACAAAATGGAGCATTTCCAATTTATTTTACTTATTGTTCTTGGTTTAATCACTTAACATACCTCCCATGCAGCTCTAGAAAATGCTAACAATGTAATACTCTATATTTAAGACAAATGCATCACAGTCCAGTTTGAAGAATAGCAGCTCTCCATAAGGCTACTTTGCCTATGCACCTGACTCAACACAGAAACCAAAATGCATTAATCAGCTTGTATGCAATAAAAAGTGAAAAGCTATAAATTCAATCTAAAGCCTCAAGTATTTCAGTCTGTACTTTCATCCTTAAGCTGTTACAAGTGATAACCCAAGTACTCGAGTACAGAGTACTGATCATCTAAGCTTTTTATCTCAGGCAACTGCAACTCAGTTTCACCACAGCATCATCCCATTCACTATTCCATCAGATAATGTATAGTATGAAGATGAAACAGCTAGTTAAGGAAAACAAAGAGAAAAAAGAAAAAAGAGAAGAAACCCAAAAAACTTGTTCAGATTGCAAACATGATTATTGCTTGGTTTCAATTACATAAATCTTTTGCCAAAACTGTTCTTTAAAATGCTCCCAAAGACTGACATTCAAAAACCACAAAGCTACCCTGTTTCTTGTGAACTATTTACATAATGCTTACCTGAATTATTTTGCACTTCAGGCCATGCAAGCCAACTGACTCAAGAATAAATACTGTTGCTGATCATGCCAAGGTCTGCATTTTTCCCTAGTTCGCTTTTATTTCAACTGCTTCTCTTGATTGCTCTAAGTAGCAATTGAATCAACTCAACTTACTTGGCAGTTTGGAGGCTGAGATGCTACAAAATCCCCCAGATCAAGTACAGAAAGACAGTTAATATTTCAACTCCCAGGACTTAAGCTGGCAGAAGCCTATATGTAAGCCTAATACATGAAGCATTCCTCCCCTCTGGGAGGAAGAACAGATAGTTCTGGTCAGTTTACATTTCTCTATTGGTTCTCACCCTTGTCATGTATTTTTATTCTGAATAAGTACTTTCTGATGCGTTCATAGAATAGTTTGGGTTGTTAGAGACATTTAAAGGTCATCTAGTCCAACTGCCCTGCCATGGGCAGTGACATCTTTAGCTAGATCAGGTTGCTCAGAGCCCCGTCCAAACTCGAATGTTTCCAGGGATGGGGCCATCTACCACCTTTCTGAGCAACCTGTTCCAGTGTTTCACTGCCCTCATCATAAAAAAATTCTTCCTTATACCTAGTCTAAATCTACCCTCTTTTACCTTAAATGCATTACCCCTTGCCTTATCACAACAGGCCCTGCTAAAAAGACTGCCCCAATCTCCCCTATAGGCCCCTTTTAAGTACTGAAAGGCCACAATAAGGTCTCCCGGAGCCTTCTCTTCTCCAGGCTGAACAACCCCAACTCTCTCAGCCTTTCGTCACAGGGAAGGTGTTCCATCCTTCTAATCATTTTTGTAGCCCTCCTCTGTACTCGCTCCAACAGGTCCATGTGTTTGTTGTGCTGAGGACTCCAGCTGAACGCAGTACTGCGTGTAGGGTCTCACCAGAGTGGAGTAGAGGGGGAGAATTACCTCCCTAGACCTACTGGCCACACTTCTTTTGATGCAGCACAGGATACGGTTGGCCTTCGGGGCTGTAAGCGCACATTGCCAGGTCACATCCAGCTTTTTGTCCACCAGTACCCCCAAGACCACCTCTGCACTGCTGCTCTCAATCCCTTCTCCACACCGCCTGTATATGTGCTTGGTATTGCCTCAACCCAGGTGCAAGGTCGCACTTGGCCTTGTTGAACTTCATAAGGTTTGCACAGGCCCACTTCTCCAGCCTGTCAAGGTGCCTCTGGATGGCATCCCTTCCCTCCAGCATGTCAACTGCACCACACAGTCTTGTGTCATCTGCAAACTTACTGAGGGTACACTCAACTGCACTATGTCATTGATGCAGGTATTAAGCAGCACTGGTCCCAGTACGAACTCTTGAGGGACACCACTTGACCTGATCTCCAACTGAACACTGAGCTGTTGACCACTACCCTCTGGATGTGACCATCCAACCAATTCCCCAGTCACCAAACAGTCTACCCATCACATCCATATCTCTCCAATTTAGAGAGAAGGATGTGGGAGACCATGACAAAGGCCTTACAGAAGTACAGATAGACAACATCTGCGGCTCTTCCCTTGTCCACTGCTGTAGTCACTCTATCACAGGTTGGTCAGGCAGGACTTGCCCTTGGTGAAGCCATGCTGGCTGTCTTGAATCGCCTCCCTGTCCTCCATGTGCCTTAGCATAGCTTCTAGGAGGATCTGTTCCATGATCTTCCCAACACACAGGTGAGGCTGACAGGCTGGTAGTTCCCAGGGTCTTCCTTTCTAACCTGTTTAAAAATGGGTGCAATGTTTTCCTTTTTCCAGTCACCAGGGACTTCACCTGACTGCCATGACTTTTCAAATATCATGGAGAGTGGCTTGGCAACTGTATCGGTCAATTCCCTCAGGACTCTGGGATGCATCTCGTTCAGGTCCCATTGACTTATGTATGCTCAGGTTCCTCAGATAATCACAAACCTGATCTTCTCTTACAGTGGGAAGGACTTTGCTCCCCTCACCCCCATCTTGCGGTCCATCCACTCGAGAGGCGTGGGAAGAGAGGGGGACAGTGAAGACGGAGGCAAAAAATTTCTTGAGTACCTTCAGCCTTCTCCTTGTCTGTTGTTACCAGCTTGCCTGTCTTGCTCATTGAGGAGGTATGCTTTCTTTCACTTTCCTTTTCTGTTTGACATAGGTGTAGAAGCCCTTCTTACTATTCTTCGCATCCCTTGCCAAGTTCAGCTCCATCCACACCTTGGCCTTCCTGACCTCATCCCTACACAACTGGGCAGTGTCCCTATACTCTTTCCAGGATACCTGTCCCTGTTTACACTGTCAGTGCATTTCCTTCTTGCCCTTTAGTTTGACCAGCAGGTTTTGACTCAGCCATGCCAGTCTCTTGACTTCCCTTCCTGAATTCTTACACCTGGGGATCAAGAGCTCTTGCACTCTATGGAAAGCATCCTTAAAGATCTGCCAGCTCTGTTCTGCACCCTTTTCCCCAAGGGCAGTTTCCCTCCTTGAATTAATTAACTAATTAACTCCCTGAAGAGCTGGAAGTTTGTTTTCCTAAAATTCAGGGTCCTGAGTTTAATCTTCACCTGACCCATATCCCTCAGGTCTGTGAACTCTACCAGTGTGTCCACTGCAGCCCAGGCTGCCTCCAATCTTGACATCGCCAATTAGCGCACTTGTGTTGGTGACCATCAGGTCCCGTATTGCATCTCCCCTGGTAGGGCTGTCCATTACCTGGCTTAAGAAGTTATCCCCAATGCACTCCAGGAGTCTTCTGGATTGCCTGCAGCTTGCTGTGCTACTTTTCCAGTAGATGTCGGGGTGGTTGAAGTCCCCGAGCAGGAAGAGAGCCTGCGAGTGTGAAGCCTCCTGTAGCTGGAGTAAGAAGACTTCATCCATAGGCTCCCATTGATCAGGTGGCCTGTAGTAGACACCAACCACAACATTCCCTTTGTTGCCTCTATCTCCGATTCTTACCCATAAGCTTTCAACCTGCTTGTGGCAGTTCTTCAGAGACAGTTCTTCACACTCTATGCATTTCTTGGTGTAGAGGGCAACGTCTCAGCCCCTCCTTCCTCGCCTGTCCCTTCTGAACAGCCTGTAGCCATTGATAGCTGCACTCCAGTCATGGGATTCATCCTACCGAGTTTCAGCAATGGCAACCAGGTCGTAGCTTTCTAGCAGCACTGCGTCTTCCAACTCCTCCTGTTTGCTGCCCATGCTGTGTGCATTGGTGTAGAGGCACTTCCGCTGGGCTATCGGCTGTATTTAGAGGAACACACCTTAACTCCTTTGAGGTATTTCACTGGTGTTCCCCTGTTGGCTCCTATTACCTCAGAAGTCCCTGGCTCATCTCTGTAAGACTTAAAGTGTGCTGCAGTGTACCCAACACTCCTCAAAGCAACAGGCTGAGGGCCCTTGCTAGCACCCCATCCCTCTAACCATGGCATGTCATTCCACAGCTTGCCACAGGCATGCCTGACATTATTCCTCCTCCCCCTTCCGGTCTAGTTTAAAGCTCTGTCAATAAGCTCCAGTAGTTTGTGAGCAAAGACCCTCTTCCCTCTTTGAGAAAGGTGAATCCCATTCAAAATGCTTATTCCTTATTCATTTGTGCTTGGATAAAAAGGTGAGGTCACCTTAAAGTGACTCTCTCTTTAAAACTGAATTATTTACAAGACTGGTTTTGGAAAGACCTCTGAAAACTAACTAATGATTAGTTTACATAATCCTCCTACTAGAAAGCAAATCCAGACAATTTACCATTTACTTCTTAAAAACTGTGGGATTGGGGGGAAGGGCCAGCAGGGGTCCTGCCACTAAGGCTATGCAGTCACCTTCCTGTAAGAATGTCTCACCTTATTCCACTTACGTATAAGTTTATTCTGATGGAAAGCCCTAAACTGTAGAAATTTCCCATCAGGTGTTTTGTAATTGTGTCTACATTATAATTTTTGACTGCATGCTGTACAATAACTACAGACCAGAAAGAGACACTTTAAATGTCAGTGAAAACAAGGTAGGATACAGGGTGCTTAAGAAAATGATATGTACTTTATTCTAACCTATATATTATTAGAGATGACCAACCCAAACTGGACCTTAAAGCCACCTTTGGGACAACTGCCTCTCACGTTAGTTTGTATATTTATGTAATTCCTTACAGTCTACCCCAAAATGGAGATGACAAAATAATCTGTATGTAATGTAACGGCACTCACTCCACAGGGTGAAAAAATTTCTTTAAGCACCCCTAAAAACTTCCACACCCATCTCATAGAACTGAAATTCCCATGTATTAGACTCCTAACACACCCAGAATCCAGATCTGATCAACACTTGGTTTTGGTAAGGATGTAATCCACTGTTATTTTTCCAGGGAGAAACAAACAGTCACAAAAGCACCTTCTACAATTCCATAGTTTTCTGTTGGGAACTATTAAGGGAGAGCCACACTCAGAGATGAAGAGTATCAGAAACACAAATATAGTTCACTGAACAACAGCAAACTGATGAAGGAAAAAGGAGTCGTCATTGAGAGAAGAGAAATAAGAAGGCCAGCAACTGGCAAAAAAAAAAAAATCATTAAGTTCAAAACTATGGCTCCACCTTATTCACTACAGGCCTACTTCAAAAATATAATGCATACAGTTTCGTCAAGCACCCTCCTAAAGAGGCACCTATCCGTACAGTAAAAACCAGTGACTTCAATTCAGATACTCAGTCTTTCACAATAATGTCAGAAAGCCCTTCTTGTATCTTTTGCTTCTTCCCCACTCTTCAATTGGAAGTTATTTGCCGATTCGCTCTAAACGTCTCACAACTAGTATCACCCAGCTAACGTGGCGTTTCCTCTTCCCCATGCACAGGCATCCCACGTTAGTACTGTACACTCTTCACGTTGCTCTTTTCTTATTCTCACATGCCAATGATCACAGCAACACATGCTAGTACACATTCAGCAGAGAAAGCATTAAATTGGCGTGACACTCCTAAAACCCTTTGCATTTCAAGTGACAAACCAATGCAGCGGATTTGCAACACTGCAACAGAAATAGGTCACAGCTACTAGATGTCAGCAGACAAGCCTCTATTTTTAACAGGCTTTATTGGCCAAAAGCCTGTTCACCCATTTGCATCAAGTACTTAGGAAGTCTGTTAGAAATGCAGGAGTACAAGGCAGAGTGGGAGAGATCCCACGTGCTGCATTGCACTGAGAATCCTGTTGTTAAGTTGGTGGCACTGAAGAATTAGGCAGGAGACAATGCTCTCACCTCTTGGAGAGGTCACTTTCTGAGTGCTGGAGCAACCTTCCTGAGCCCTGGTAAAAGCTTTTCAGGAAAGAAGGGGCAGAGACAGAGGAGGGGAGACCAGGTGATGCAGATTCACTCTCACTGAGAGTGCGCCGAACACCAACAATAGGACTGTGCAGGCAACAAGAGAACATAGCAGATGGGTCAGCATGGATTCAGATACAATAAAACATCCAGATTAAAGACACTGGCCAAGTACCCCATCTTGGCTTACAGTAACTTTGTTTCTCAGAAGATAAAACGCACCAAGTGCACTACTGGGCAGTTTCCCCGATGATATTGATTTTGCTGTTACACCTGATTTCTTTTAAGAAATGTTTCAATGACATTGCAGAACAGGCAGACCACCTTATTTCTTTAGCTGTATTTGTTCTCAAAGCAAATTCAGAAAAACCATCTCCAAAACATTCAGAAAACCTTAGAAACCTGCTTCCAATAACATGAATCATCTTGTTTCTTCCCTTCGGTTTTATCTTGCTTTTGTAAATAACTGCTAGAATACATTAGAAAGTAGAGATTATTTAAATGCAGTACTTTTGGATAAATTTTTGTGAAGTGTTTAAATCAAGACAGTCCTACTACACAGTTAAACATTACTTAATAATAGTAACAAGTGTTGGGGGGACATAAAAATTAGTTCAGTGTCTTTTACTCAACATTTTTGATTAATCCTCAATAGGAAAGGAGAGAAGGAAAAATCCCAGCCTAGAACCAAGTTGTTACAAACTGTTTTGACTGAAAATCTGCTGATGATGACATTTAATCAGCGACTTCTTAAAAGTTATTACAAAGAAGTGAAGTCAGCAAGTCCTTCAGTTTGAACTGTCAGGGTTTCCTGTTTGCATACAACATGGTCAGTGGAAAAAAAATATAACCAAAGTTTATCTTAGTGAAAAACACATTATTTATCTCTTCAGAAACACAATGTAACAGAGCTAACTTCAAGGCTAGTTTCTTACCCTTCACCCCCTTTCATTCTCTTCAACAGAATAATTTTTTTTTGCCTTCCCTCTACAAGCTGGTGTGGCATTCACACTGGTATTTTAATCGAGACATCAAACAGGTGAGAAACTATTATTTAAAGCCATTTTTACAAAAAGCCCACAAAAAGCATAATTGCAGCCAAGCACTGAAACAGACAAGTAGTTTGGAGAAAGTGCTCCTCCAACAGAAAAAATTCAGCTCACCTGGGACTGAATCTGGTAAAGGTTTTGGAGTTTGCACAGTCACTTGCTGCAGATAGCCAGGACAGAGGCAGAGAAAGAAAGTACAACCAAAGAGGTCCACAATGAACTGTGGGGACCTCTTCTGACTGAGTGAAGGAACTCCTGAAGGAACAGCGTTCCACATATTAATAGCTGGACAGTCTCCAAAAGGGAAGGGGAAAGAAGTTACAGAGGGAGGCTTCAGAGAAACGCAAACAGGGAAATCGCATGTCTCACAGTTCAGTGAAGTGTTTAATCCTTAAGTCCCTTTGTGAGACTCCTCAGCAGTTTTAATTCTGGACACACTCTCTGGGAGATTTAGCTAATATAGCGACAGACACTTGAAGCTGTCAGTGCCGTTTTCATCTTGGCATAGAATCGTCAGGCTACCGTCTCTATGGTGAAAATCAGTGAGGACCTCTTCTCCAAAGGGCCTGACTACCAACACTGCCAAAAAGGCTCAGATAAGAGGTGATGAGTAAATAGATAAACAAACAGATCCGTGCCGGCATCCAACCTGATGATCAATTCACTGGATTGTTGCTTCCCCTGAATCACTAATTCAGGGATTAGTGAGTACTGCAAAGCACCAAACTCAGAGGCAGAGAAGACAGGCTGAAAATAAATAAGTAGATGAAATCCAGAGCAGTGCAGAAACAGCTTCCCTAAGAAGGAACACGGGTGAGGCTCATGTACTGAACTCGCAGGCGACAGCAGGCGCGTGGCGCAGCATGCCCTGACTCACCTTGTTGTCTCAACGCAGCTCTGCCGCAGCAGCGGGGACCGGACGCTCTGGGACCTCCCGTTCTGGAAGGTTATCCTCCGCCTGGCGCTGGAGGGGGGGTGGCTGAAGGTGTGCGCACGCCTCCTGAACTGGGGGGAGTCCGAGTCTTCCTCGGGAAACGGCTGCCAGGCCGAGGACACGGGGGACGCTGGAGGAGTAGCCGGTGGGGAATCGCCCGGCGAAGCGTCCTGAAAGGAAGTGCTGGCGGAGTGAGGCCTGCCGCTCCGCGCCCTGCAAGAGCTCTCGCCGAACCCCACAGGCCGTGCACGGCATCGGGGCACCAAAGCCTCTCCCCCTTCTTGGTCATGGCCTATTGTATGCTAATTATCACCAAAACCAGACATCCTTTGATAATTTACTCCAAACCAGCAGCGTCCTTCTTCAAAAAAAGAAGAGGGAGGAATAAAAATATATGTACAATGCAAACAACACACTAATTACTCTAGGCATCCTCTAACAGGGATCGGCATTACAGCTACTGGACTTCTGGCTCTTTCAGGAAAATAGAGGAATCAAAAAGACCAGGGGAAACTGCTTTTAGTTAGTTTTCTCGACATATCGCGAGCTTACTTCCTGTACCGTCATAGCAATATCCTGGAAGAGAGACTATTATTGCACAGCCAGTTTACGAGTAACTGTAGCAGGAAAACCATAATAGAATCTTCACCTCCTGGGAAAACTAGTAACCAATCCTCACGTGAGGTAAAGTATTAAAAACAGGAAATAAAAAGAAAGTGAACAGAGTTCCGCCCACTCAGCCCCATACAGCATCCCCAACAGCCGGTTTTAGGTCAAAAAATTCCTACTTCCCTAAAGCTACTATTACTTACAGAAAGGATTCTTCACCTTCAGAGCATTTCCCTTTGCTGAGATATGATCTTTGTTATTTAATTCAGTGAAACAAGGCAGAAGCTGATCAGAAATTCCCTGCTTTTTGAAAAAGCAAGGGAAGTGTAGGGGGGGGGGAAGAAAAAGGACTGGCAATCAAACAATAGATTAAAGCTGAAGCTTCAAGTCAACATATATGCCAGCTTTCTTACACCCTCCGCCTCCCAGTGGAAACTCTTATTTGAGTTTTGTAAATTGATGTGCTTTGTGCTACTTCCTTCAAATCGAAGCAGAGTGCCATATTTACACTTCATTAACACCCGTGCATGAAAACGTGCCAATTTTAACTAAGCTCCTTACGTACTTTGTCAGAAGCAAGGCTGTTGCAGCGCTCAAAGCTGTCCACGCTTCCCAGGCGGCCTCGCATTCTGTTGGCTCCCTGCAAGAAAAAAGGCGAGTAATTTAACCTGGTCTTTTTTTCTGAAGGTTAAGCAAAGATGGCAACAGCTGTGCATGTGAACACAGGACAGTTCAGGCATGTGACACTGCTGACATAAGACCACAGATCACGGGGCAAGCACTAGATTTTACAAGCAGTGACATCTTTAGCCAGCAAAAGTGTATCTTCCCTCCTTCGCTCCCAGAAATTTTAAACCTGTAGCTCTGTTGTCTGAAGCAACTGTGTATTTCCTGATCCATTCGAGGCAAAGTAGCTGAGTTGGCTTAAGCAGTCAAATTCAAAAAGCTCCAGACTTCAGTACTGTGCATGCACTGCAGCCAATAGACGCATTTGACATACTACAGTCTCAGAGAGTTTACTCCATATCTAGACATTTCAGACAAATTAAGTCCACCTGGGCAGAAGTAGTGAAAGCATTAAAACTGGGAAAAAACACTCCCTGGCTGCAAATCCAGCCAAATAATGCCAGATACAAACAAGACTTTTCAGTTATAGTGCAGATGACCCTGAGGCAAATTTGCAAGAAACTAGTGTTAGCAGATCTTTGCCGAACTTGTTAACAGTCATCTGGTTTCACAGGAAGAGGCAATAAAGCTGCAATACTTTTGACTACCTTCCACTCCTAACTTGAACTCCCATGAAACATCAGTGATGTATGCTGTTGAACACTTCTCACTGCTGAAGTAAGTTGCTTTCAGTACTTTATCAGGTAAAAATCCTCTAGGTTTTAGGAAAACTATGGATAGAGCTTGTCTTGGTATGCTTGCAACTCCAGCATTTATTTAGCATACTTTTTCCTGGTAAGGTTTATTTTCAAGACTTATAGTGCCCTTTAAGCACATTATCCCATTTAAGCTCATTAGCAATGAATACTCTGCCTGAAGCATCTCTTCACTGACCCTCACAGTAAAAAAAGAGCAAAGGATAACTTGTAAGTTTCTCACTAGCTTTAAAAAACATACTTTTGGCACTGTAAGAAGGACTTTTTTGTTCAGAAAAAAACAACAGAAGAGGTTAGTGCAACATGGACTGGAAGAAATCTGTTCATGAGGTCAATCAGAGGTTATATTTATTTTTCTGAGGTACCTCATTAGGAAGCCACAGCCTGTTTTCAGTTCAAACCTGACAAAAATAAGATCAGTCCAGCAAAACAAACAAGTGAAAAAGTGACATTCCTTTGGGACTAAGTGAAGCCAGAGCACAGAACCTAGCATGTTTCCCCTATGGAGAGCAGTGAGCAGCTACTCCTTCAAGTAGCTTAAAATGTCACTTGATGCTATTTATCTAGCTAAGAAGCCATCCACTTAAAGTGTTCCTAGATATTTGGTTAATGCATACTTATTTCTAATTTTGCTAAGATTGAGGCTGCATAAGTCTCTCCCCCACATATACTGCCTTCTGCTTTTTACTTAAAACTTTTTATTTACAAAAAGATGCTGAATGCTAACTTAAAAAAAAACCCCAAACCTCAAGTTCTTTCCTGGTCTCTTCATTACTAGATGTACTTTAAAATAAAGATGCTAGGTCATGCATAATTTGCATCCCATTACATCAATATCACGTGATTTCTAGCTGGCTTAAGGAGGAGAAAACCCGCTGCACCAATAGGTATTTGGTGCCTAAATACCTTTAGGAATTAGCTACGATCCATTAGGCTTGCTGTAGTAGCCTGATGAAGGATGAGAACTATGGGAACAGTCATTGTATAACACACTTACGCACGTAACACACAGCATGCACGCACAGAGACACTCGTCGTATATACCTGCTTTAATCAAATGATTAGTGGTTGAGCTGCACTGTAAATTATTTTTCTCAGTCTTGCATTGTGTAACCTTTAAATGGATCTGCAAGGATGAACCCCTATGCGTATCAAGATCCACTACAACTTACTGCTGTTTCTGATCGATTGCAGTTTCAAGTTAAAGATGAGACAACCTTTAACAGCAAGTCTGCTTCACAGAATCACAGAATGTTAGGGGTTGGAAGGGACCCCGAAAGATCATCTAGTCCAATCCCCCTGCCAGAGCAGGACCACCTAGAGTAGGTCACACAGGAATGCGTCCAGGCGGGATTTGAATGTCTCCAGAGAAGGAGACTCCACAACCTCCCTGGGCAGTTCCAGTGCTCTGTCACTCTCACAGTGAAAAAGTTTTTCCTTACGTTAATGCTTCATAAAAAGCAAACTTAAAATGGCCCTAATCCAGATTCGGGTGTCCATTTCTCATGGACTGTGTAGATCCTTACACTATAACATGTCCACAGAGACTCTGGTGAGAGGGAACATACTATTATCAAAACCAACAATATATAAGCAATTTCCCTTCAGAGACTCTCCAACTTAAGCAGCACACTCTGTATAAATTATTTTTCCTTGACATGATCAGAATGCTAGTATGTCCATGTATGGCAGGGCTGCTTTACTGGGTTATTCCCAATGATGTACGCCTGTTCCACCACCATCGCAGGGTTAGTGACCCACTGTCACAACTAGCTCACTTTCCAGTCACACGCCCTTTAGATGTGGAAAAGAAATCAGACTCAGCACAGGCATGACTGTAGCTGTCATCATTTGATAATATTCCAGGCTGCTGAAATTATCCAGGTCTTCTGACTCTCTCTCCCTCCTCCTCTCCCCTAGCCCCTAGTGTGTCAAACTTGCCACATAAGAGGTCAGATTTGACAGGAGAGTTTTAATGCTAGCTTCAGTCCTGGATCAAAATCACGCCTAACCTTAAGTTCTAAGAATTCTCCCTGGCCTCCTTTATAGTGGCATCCTATGTCTGCAGATTACTATATGACATGCCCATATAAGCTGCAGGACAAGTGCAACTTAGGCCTTGATTTAGCATGGTACTTTTAAAATTACTAGCAGAAGGAACTTAATTTTGCTGCTTCAAATAATATTTAGACCTTGCTACCCAGTATCCACAGCTCATTACATTTTCTCTGTAACGACATACTGGATCCTAGGCACCCAGCCTTCTTCAGTTACTCCTCTATATGCCTCTTCTCTGCTTTCAGGACTCTCCCTACTGAGCACGGGACACTAAGCAAAACTTGCAATTCAGACTTCTTCTTTAAAAGGCTGTTTAATACAAGAGAGTTCCAGTAATCATCTGCAATTCCACCTCATATCTGGCCAGCAACACTGAAATAAAGAACAACTCGTGTTTTAAGTCTATTGCTTTTTTTTTTTCCTCCTGCAAAAGAACAACTTTGTTACTATTTTATAAAGATTCTAAGTGACCAATATAAACAATTTTAGCTATGAGAGGTAAGGCATTACTTCTCAGAGCAGAAAGATTTCCAGTTACGCATGCACACTTAGTCAGACTTTCACAAAAAGACAACATGTCTCTATAGGGTCATGCAACCATCCTGATTAAACTTTTTTATTCTGAAGCAGCACATCCGATAAATCTCAGATAATGCTCACTTGCGACCTACGATGAACATTCTTTATTCAGAAAGCTGCCTTTTTTCCTTCTGTATGTATGGCCTTACCATAAACTTTCTAGCACAGTTAAATCACGGTCAACCCAACTGTAACCCTCAGATTTCACAACAGGGATATCGCTTCATTAAGTATTTATCAGACTGAGGCCAAAACAACAACAACAACAAAAAAATCTGATAGGTCTTTACTGTCAAGGACATCTGGGAGAGCTGCTGACAATGAGTTGTTAATCTTACCCTTGAGAAGATATTTTCCAGAGAACTAGTCAAGGACTTCTTGGCCTTGTTTTTCAGAATGTCAAGTTTAAACCTGCCACCACTGGTGGTGCTTTCTGGAATGGCACTGTTAGAAACAGCCTGTTGAAATAAGCAAGGACACAATTCAGCTTTGGCAATTCTTTTTGCAATTGCAGACCTCCAAAGACTAAAGCTGAACCAAGTTACATAATAAAAAACATACTCTTGGCCTTTATTAAAAAAACAGCACAAACAAACAAACAAAACCCCACCCCCAAAAAAAACAAAACCACAAAAAACACAGTTAAAGGCACATTTCATTCCTAAAGACTAACTTTTAAAAGCATAGCAATTTAACAATACTGCTACCCATTTCCTTTGCTAGGTAAGTTAGTAGTTTAAACTGAAACCAATGCCTCTTCATCCCTATATTCTCCCTAGAAATAACTGTTCAGGAGTAGGATCAGGGAGGAAGGAAAAGGACAGAAGAGGTATCCTCATACTGTAAGGAAATCTAGACCTAAAAATAATCAGTTGTCTTTCTTCCCTCTCTTCCCACCCCTCAAACTTAAAAAAAAAAAAAAAAAAAAAAAAAGCATGCCACAAAGTCAAATCAAATTACTTCTCTTTCACAGTCCTCTCTTAATTAAAATACCCAGCTTCAGCTAACCCTGATGAACTCTAGCAGTGGCCCTGCCAGTATTCAAGGTTGTATTTTAATACGGTGGGAGGAGGAAGAGGAATAATATAAAACCAAGCTTTACCGACGGTGCTTCACCAATGTGAATGTGCGTTTTCTGCTTAGTTTCACAGAGCTGGCGCAGATGTAAGATCACAAGTTCATTTTCTTCCTGGTCATTGTCAGGTTTCATTTTCTGCCAGTAACAGCAAAGGAAAGAAAAAAAGTTTTCTTTCAAGTCATGATTTACTTATTTTCCCTTCCATATGTATGTATTCTTTGAAATTAATATATTGATACACCAGATGCCACAGCGCACTATTAATATGCCAAATTGCACTAGTGTTTGCCTGCCTTCATACTCCTGTGCGAAATACAGCAAAACTTTCCACGTGTAAAATGTTACAGGCTGTGGAGCGGAGGGAGCCTTACGCCCACACATTTTCTAAGGTTTCTGTCATTATATAGCCTTATAAATGGAATAAGGAACCCAGGAAAACCAAACAGCCACTCCCTTCTTCAGGCAGCTAGAGAAAAATATAGCCTGTGGAATCATAAATTATTGTACGCTTCATCCACTCAAGTACACTCACTTACACCACAATCTTGCCTCAGAATAAATCAGAAAAGACAACTTCTGAAAATGTCAGAGACATTCTTGATACCTGCATGTCTCACCTGCTTTCAACTCACTCCCACATCACCTTCAAGTAGGGAAGCATATTTACAGATGAAGAACAAAACTCAGGAAAAAAACCACTCTGGTTATGAACATAGAGCATCTCAGCAGACTTGGGAATCAAAATTTTTCTAATATCAGTGTATCATACATGAGGTTAAGTTGAAGCACGCTATTTCAATATGACATTTGGTGGAAAAGTAGTAAATTCTAGATCAACTACATAACAAACCAAACATAATCAAAGGCAAAAATGTCTAGCCCTTTTTATCACGGTCTTTTTCAAATCTGAAAGAGCAGCTTCTAGCATATTACCTGAACACGTTCAAAAATGTCTGCTTGCTCATTATCAGTTAGTGATGACAGATGTCTCTGAATTACAAGTTTGGCTCTTGGAGGATAGAGTCCTGAGAAAACAAAGGAACATTAAAGCTTCTAGATTCTCAAATGATCTCTTAAAAAACTTTCTAAAAAAATGATAGTAGAAAATATAAGCCCGCATTTGAGTTATACAAGTTTAACATATGACAGTTGTATATCTGCATGTATATACACCTGATACAACAGAACTAGCAGCAGCTAAGTGGCTGGCTACTGTGTAAAAGGTTGTACTCTCTACCTCACTGAAATCTTCTGTCCTAATACCAAGAAATCGCTGACAGCTGGAAGCCTGACAACTGTATGGGAGAGGAGGAAGAGAGCAACAGACCAGGGATCTAACTGAAGAGATACTCAATGCACAGGATACTCAGAAGTTTTCAGATTAGCTTAACTGAAAAAATTAGATGCATTTCTACACAAGAAAAGGGTAGGGTACAGGTCATACCAGAGAACTGAAGACACTTCTAAGAGCAAGAATAGCATAAAAGCCGTAAGAATAAAAGAAAGAATTTCTAATGTTTGATAAAGTGCACATTTGCTCACAGAGTTTGTTCTAGGAAGCTACAAAAACTGTGGGGGAAAATAAAACCCCAGAATCAGATGAAGATGTATGGGGTTTTTTCATCCAAGGCAAATGACATTCATAAAAAGCTGCAACCAGAACAGATAAAGATTTTTCCAAAGTCATGAAACTCTAGGTTTGGTTATGATAAACTCTGAAGACTCTAAAAAAGCAGACGGATAAAAATAAAGGGATACTAAAATAAGTCTTTCAGTCATTAAGTACAGAGTTTATGAAACTACTATTATGGTACTCAAGTTGTTGCCCTAGAAGGTATCTTATTTTGATACTGGATATTTATCCAAGGCTTGCAAGTACCTGGGTTCGATATACTTACACTGCCTTATACAGCAGCCTCTATGGTTTTTCATTTATAGAAGAATTTCCCAGTTAAGCTTTATCACTTCTGAATATCTGTTGTTAAACCCGGAAAATACCAGTCATAACCTAACAGAATTTCACTTCATTAAGATTTTACACTTTGCTTTTCATCCACCAGAGGGAGGTAAGTAGTAATCGTGACTTTTAATGAATGGGAAAACTGGCAATTAACCAGCACCATCATGACCAGATCAGAAGATACAAGACTACTGTAACATACTTGCTTTTTTTCCATACAACAAGGAGATACAGCAGACTGACTATAAAAATAGGATCCTGCTACTAACTTCTATTTTAAATTCTATCTTGTAAGATTTTTTTGCATGTGTTCTGGCACACCTCATTTCCAGAGAAAAACAAAGGTTTGTCTGTTCACATTTGAAGCCAGGTAGTTGCTTTAACTTCCTTTTTTAGATACTAATTCTGCTAACTTCATCGTTTATTTCCCCATAATAGAACTAAGTTTTGAAGCATGTAAGAGAATAAACACAAAGAAGGAAAAAATAACCCCACACAGGAAAGAACGAACACACAAGAAAGCAAGACCCTTTTTGACCACAACTGTCTTTTTATGACCCATTTTGAAAGCATGTATCTTCAGAAAAAAAAAAAAAAAGAAAGGCAAACTGGTGGATTTTTCTGCTTTGCTTAACATTTAATAGAGGTATGATGATGAAAGAGTATGCATTTATAACAGAAACTATTACTATTTGCAGTTGCAATATCATTACTGCTATCACCCCCACTTGATTACAGAGAGCGCAAAGTGATGGTAAGAATTGCTTATTGGGATACTTCTCCCTCTGTTCTTACATTATTTAAGTTGAAAGCTCATGGTTAACATAACTAAAATTCTTCTAGAATAATCAGAAAAACACAATTAGAAAATAAACTCAGCCGCTACCTTCAATTCTTTCACAAAGTTTGTGCAATGAATGCATAGGGCAGGCCTCACACAGTTTAATCTGCGTCTTGGCATTTTGCAGAGCTGCAGCAGTGCTGAAAGCTTGTTTCAGGGTAAGCATTACCTCATCAACCTATAGGGGAAGGAGGGAAAAGACAGTATATAAACAAAAATACATGCCATATACATCAAATTATATTCATAAATCAAACTATAGACAGGTGTTTTACAATGAAAAAAAAGCCCCATTTGCTGCCTTCTAAGGAGATCAAGGTTGTATTCTCAGCTTTCTGCCTTTTCTGAGGATGCTCACTATCTCCAAGTTCAGCCAAACAGAGTAATTCTGAGTATCTAGCTGCAGCTACTGAAGCTTACTGGGCAGAAAGCCACTGTTTTAAGAAGCTGCAAGTGGGAATTTTTGGCTTGAATATACGCTGGCTAAATAAAAAGTATTAATTTCTTTTTATTCAGCTTCAAGTTTCTCCTGTAAACTACACATGCTCCCTCTCAACAATTTTCCTCCCACCACTGTACCATTTTAGCACAAAACCCCACAGACCCATCCTGCTGGCAGACAGAAGCTTCCCACAGCATTTCACTTTTCTCCAGGCTACTAGACTGGCTACCAGCTTCATTAGAGCCACCAACGTACCTTTAAGTACTGCTGGCCTGCCTTGCAGTTTGCCCTGATCTTTCCTCTGCCGCTACCACAAATAGAGCGGTGCTATGTTCCCACACACCAGCACTGGAGAAGCTCAACTTTTGTCTAAGAAAGGTCGAGTGCTTTTCCACACTCAAATACACTCATAGACCTTATATACAAAGCACTTGGAGCTTCCCTGCCTGTATTTTAGAGGAATACATTGCTTATTAATATTTGAGTCTTTGCCTTAGCATGGAAAGGAGGAGACAACAGCTTGATGACAATCTTAAGAGAGAAATCAGTATTCTATTTCAGAATGAGGTCCTTGCTCTTTCCTGTTGCTATTTTTATAAGCAGGAAGAAGAAAGCTGAAATATTTGAGACCAAAATCATGTAGTCTAACATTGAAAACATACAGACTTTTTTGAGGGTCTGCCACTTGGGAAAAATTTTTTTAAAAAAAAAAAAAAAAGGCATCTGAATGTGAAAATTTAAATTAGTTTGGTTTGAGATATGTTTAGATTTTTTTTTTTTTTTTTTACCCACAGTTTTAAGCACTAGCAGTAATGTCTGGATGCTCTCTCATCAATAAAGCACGGCATTGGACAGTGAATATCTATCTTGCAATACAGAGTGATAATTTTTTTAAGTTGGCAACAATGCCTCTCAAATGGAAGATCCACAGAAGACTGATAAGCATATGGATTATGCAAAGCATATGGATTAATAACTTGTGGAAAGTGTGGAAAGCATTGATACCATCCTGCATGACATCCTTGTCTCTAAACAGGAGAGCCATGGATTTGACAGATGAACCACTCGGCAGATAAGGAATTGGCTGGATGGTCACAATCAAATAGACACGGTCAATGGCTTGATGTCCAAGTGGAGAGCAGTGACAAGTGGCCTTCCTCAGGGATTGGTATTGGGACCGGCACTGTTTAACATCTTTGTTGGCAACATCGGCAGTGGGACTGAGTGCACCCTAAGCAAGTTTGCCAACGACACCAAGCTGAGTTGTGCAGCCAATACTCTGGAGGGAAGGGAGGCCATCCAGAGGGACCTTGACAGGCTGGAGAGGTGGGCCTATACAAACCTCATGAAGTTCAACAAGGCCAAGTGTAAGGTCCTGCACCTGGATCGGGGCAATCCCAAGCACAGATACAGCCTGGGCAATGAGTGGATTGAGAGCAGTCCTGGGGAGAAGGACTTGGGCGTGCTGGTGGATGAAAAACTGAGTATGAGCCAGCAATGTGCACTCGCACCCCAGAAAGCCAATCGCATTCTGGGCTGCATCAAAAGAAGGGTGGCCAACGGGTCAAGGGAGGTGATTCTCCCCCTCTACTCCACTGTTGTGAGACTCTACCTCGAGTAGTGCGTTCAGCTCTGGGGCCCTCAGCACACGAAAGACATGGACCTGCTCAAGTGGGTCCAGAGGAGGGCCACAAAGATGATCAGAGGGCTGGAGCATCTCCCCTATGAGGATAGGCTGAGAGAGTTGAGCTTATTCAGTCCAGAGAAGTGAAGGCTCCACGGAGACCTTATTGTGGCCTTCCAGTACTTAAAGGGGGTCTACAGGAAAGATGGAGAGGGACTCTACCAGAGAGTGTAGTGATAGGATGAGGGGTAACAGTTTCAAACTGCAAGAGGGTAGATTTAGATCAGATACTACAAAGTTCTTCACTGTGAGGGTGGTGAGACACAGGAACAGGTTGCCCAGAGAAGTTGCAGCTGGACCCTTCCTGGAAGTGTTCAAGGCCAGGTTGGATGGGCCTTTGAGCAACCTGGTCTAGTGGAAGGTGTCGCTGCCCATGGCAGGGGGGTTGGAACTAGATGATCTTTAAGGTCCCTTCTAATCCAAACCATTCTATGATTCCATGACTATGACAACACTAAAAATATGAAAACTGTAGCTAGGTTTAGAGCAAATATACACCAGCCTACCAACATATCCTGCCTGACAGCACAGAATCCTGAAAGCATTAGGTTTTACAGCTCTGCCCTGCCACAGTCAAACTGCCACAGGGGTCCAAGTGATTGCATCTGAAAGTAGCTCCAGAATGTTAATTTCATACTGCAATGTGGGTGTACCCACACATATCAGTACTAGAATATGTAAACAGGTTCACAAATACATGATTTCTTTATACGCCACATTTTAAGTCTTTGAATTGTGCATAGTCAGATTTATCAATAGGTGAGATGTAACATTTTCTCTCAGTACAAAGATAGACCTAATTTCATAATAAGCTTCCATTTTGACAAAAGTGAAGCCTCAGCTACTACTGTACATCTAGGACTGTTAGCTGTTTGAAGTTTTATTGACACCTCTATTCACTCTCAAGCTAGCCAATGGATTAACAAAACACATTTTCAGCTATCTAGAAGAGTGATTTTTAAGTTTAGCTGAAAAAGAGTTAGCAGCTGTTAGCATAGCCATCAGGAACATAGATGTTTCAGAACAAAACCTAACCTCTTTCAAAGTGTCAAAGCTTTGAAATAAAAATGTAGTAGCCAAAATGACTTCCTGTATGTGTCTCATTATTTGTATCAGTTAAATCACTGGCACCCGAAACTTCAATTGATTGCTACATACTTTATCAAATATCCAATGGACTTGTTTTATATTTACACACATGCACATATATTATGGTTTTCATCTTCTCTGATCAGATGCTGCTATTTTCTTCTCCTGAGGAACAAAATAGACTACAGAGAAAATGCTAAAGCCACATGCAGGCTAAAGACACATACAGGATCAGCCAGTAGCTTAAATGCTACCCTGAAAAGTACATTAGGGTTTTATCACCAGCTTTGTTACTGATTCAACACATGTAATTACATATTTAACGGGGAATCAAGTATCTCAACAATTAGAAATACAAGAGTTACAATCAAATACAGAGTCCAAATATGCTCACAGTCTGCATGTATGAACTCATCCACATGGATTTTTTTCTATTTGTTATTGATACACGCATCAGCAGAGTAGCGGGATATGGCTATATATGAACAGAACGTATGTGTTTCCTACTGCATATTTTCATATTTCATATTCACAACCGAGGTCTCTCACCTAAGAGGACGTGACCACTGAGGCTCATCTGACACCACAGAACAACAGAGACTGCCATGGTTTAGGAAATGCCTCAGACATCCTCCCCTGCAAACGTTAGGATCATTAATAAATACTCACCAGAGACTCACTTGCACACTGGAATACATAGCAAACATACTGGCTTAACCCAGGTTCAACAGATTCCCGGCAAATGAAACCAAAGTGATCGACGTGTTTTATACCCTAAGAGAGTTTTAAAAAAAAAAAAAACATTAGTGGACTATTTTATAAACAGGTTTAGTTTCCAAAGCGGTCCTAAAAATAGTTACCAAACTCCAACACTTGCCAATACAAAAATTCAAGAAACTATAAATGCATGCTCCTAATGATCTATTTTACAAGTACAATAGTCATCTTTTAAACTGCATTTTGCATTTAAAAGGTACACAAAGCTCTTTACACAATCAAAAGAGAAGTTACACAGCAATAGACCTGGACCTGAATTTCTGCCAGTAGGAAAAACTGGATTTTCAGGGAAGTGAACTGAAGAGTCCTAGGTTGTATTTGGAATTGCCTCTGCAGTGAAAACTTAATGTAATGAGCCCACACTAAAACATGGGAATAAAGTAGCATCAAAGTAGCAACAGATCTTCATTCTCTTGTAACACAGGTTAAGACTACACCAAAAAGAGTAAAGAATGAGTGGTGACACGCAGAATTCCAACCAAATTCTTAAATAAATTCTTTGAGACTGAGTTACATACCAGAAGTTTCAAGACTTACTACACATAGCTACTGATGGGTTTTTTCAAGATCCTAGTCTAATTGCTTGACAGGGAACTTTGCCTTGCTAAAAACAGCACCGAGAAGATTAAAGAGAGCTGCTTCCTAAGAAGCACTATATTCCCAGTCTCAATTCATGGAACATGACTCACTATTGTTAAAGCTTTTGCCAATGTTTTTATTATCTGCGTATGGTAATAGTACATTTTCTCCAAATGAAAGCCTAATCCCTCAAGTTCAAATACAACAGAAAGAAGAACTTGGTTGCTTGGATCCATCTCCAAAGAAAACACCTATATTGTAAAAGAGGGGAGGAGGTAAAACAACTTGCTTGTCACTACAGAAAACACTAGACAAAATTGGTAATGCAGTACGTGACAGACTGAACATATTGTCATTACACACTTTAGTTTTTAAAAACAAAATTCCAAGTTACATTTGTGCTACTTAAACAAAAACTAACAAAGGCGTAGAGGCTGTCTAAGGTGGCACAAATGGCGCTGGTTTACCATAGTCCGCACTAATCCTGATTTAATTGAACTCGTTTTCCTGTGACACGTGAAGTCTTCAAAAGCATAAAATGAAAAAGAACAGATGTATACACATACATTGATCTATATAATAGTGAAGTGTTGCCCTATGTTTTGAAAGGAAACCATATTTACTTAAAAGTGGTTAGGTGAGATGCCAGTTCCTTCACTGCTGAGAGAGTCCAAACAAGTCTACTGCTGTCTGATTTCTCAGTCTCCACAGGAGAACATTTGTGGGGAAGACAGACATGACACTTGCACCACTGCAGCATAAATAGCACAGTACATTCCTCAATTAACAGTACCTCCATCACATTTCTTTAAAGTGGTGGCCAGACTTGCCACGCCAAAAGAGCAAAGTTTTTTGTTGTTTTGGGTTCCCTCAAGGTCAGCAAGGCTGCAACAAGAAAACTTCTACAGCGGTCCCACACCTGAGCTTAGACAGCACACAGATGGGTTTATTATCATACAATTATATGGAGTGCGGACAATGAATTGAATGCAGCAGATCAACCACACTTAACCTATAGAATAAAAATACCCTTATAAGACCAGACTAAAAGAATCCAGAATGCAAGCCGAAAAGAACATCTCCTTTTCATCATTTGTAAAGCTTAGAAGAACAAACATTCCTAAGCTGCAGTCTCACAATACGCATTAAATCACTGCCCTATAAATCCATTACAGAGAAGCCCTGTGGCTAGCACCAAGTTCTTAAAAGAAGTACTGATGAGGTTTACGCAACCAAATCCTTAGTCTTTAACAAACTGATGTTTCATTTCTATTGAACATAGGGAAAAAAAAAAACCAAACCAACTCTCTAGCTGTTTTGCATTAAAAAAAAAACCTACAAAAACCCCACAGTATTGTTAGTGCCTGAGTTATTCAAGCATGCAAAAGAACAAAAGCTTTACTCCAAATGAAAGAGAAAAACTCCACCTCCAAAGCCCAACACACAGCATTACACCTAACACCATTTACCGTACACAGTTATTTTACTGAAGGAAAGCTATGCCTTGAAGGTCTGCCATGGTCTTGCTGGTCTCCACCATGCTTTAAAGTCATCAGAACAGATGTTGTCTCCACCTAGTGCTGTTTTGTTCGACTGTTATCAGTATGTATATGCAATTCAGGAGCCCAGTACATAAAGCTGAAGTATCACTTTTATTCAGCTCAGTATGCCTGTAAAGCGGGAGAAGACTCAAGCTGTCTGCAATTCTGCTTTCCATACCGCTGCTCCAAGAATCTCTTTGATCTGTATTTATTATAATGCTATTAATACATTATTATTTGATTATACTGTCCCATTCTATATTTGTACTTGACTTTTTTCTCTACCAAGAGCAATACAAACTGTAGTTAAATAGCAGTTGACTTAAAGGCTCGGACCTTTAGTTCGTAGCTCAAGACTCTACTTGAGTTACAAGTACTGACCGGTTCTTAATTTGTACTAGCATTGGTAACACAGAGCAGATTCATTATTAGCATTAAAATGAAAGCACTTGGGGGCGTGAAATACAGGTTTAGAGAATGCCAGGAAGTGTGCTTTAAACGAGAATAAGAATGTTTAAGGAGGCTTGAAGTGATGCATGTGCACGGCAAATGAAAGAAGGTAATAAAATAAGACCTTGAAACAGAAAGTGCCAGAAGTAACAGGTGCTGACAACAGCAAGACAGAACGGTGAAACCCTCAGCCCTGGCATATGACTTTATAAGGCACATTTATTTATTTATTACTGGACATAGCTAGGTATATCTATTGCCATATTCTCCAGAAAAAAAGATGCAAGTGAACTGCTGTTTTTCTGCAGGGCTGATCTGATGCTCTCCTCCTTTCATTCCAGAGGCTTTTACTAGTTTAGCTGCTCAGAAACAGCACACTTGGAGTACTCTAAATGGAGATTAAGCTACTTCCAAAATTATGTCCAATGCTCTCCTAAAGCAGGTTTATTCTTTGTTTTCTGACCAATGATCAAAGTTGTCAATACCACAGCTCAGACGGGTTTTTTTGCACTCATCTTTTCTGTAGTTAAGCTCTTTTGGAATGACATGGCATTATTTTTGTGCAGCATCTACTTGAAACTGCTACCAGATGTGTGAAAGCCCCACTTTGAATAACAGCTCTCACTCTTGTAAAGGCAAATCAGCACTTCAAGTCTGCTGCAAGCATTCATGAAGCAATCACAGTTTAATATTCAATTTCTTCCACTGCACTCCCCAAAGTGCACAAACTTCATGCAGGATTTGTATATACTTTAGTTACAATTGTTGAAAACTCCCTCCTTGCCCTTTTTTTTTTTTTTTAAATTAAGGAGCCAGTGGGGTAAAACGGCAATTTACTCTCGTTCAGGGTGATTTAGATAGGATAAACTGTTTAAAAATGGCCTTTGAGACTGAATAAAGGAAAACAGCACAGAATGCTGAAAAAGAATCCTACATTTCTTTTTTTCCGCTGCCTACAGACCAGCAAGGCAACCCAGATGAAGAATAAATAAATTCCTTTTCTTGTGATGATCTACACGTGGCTTCTTATTAATGCTTACCTGAGAACATGAGGAGATATCTTTAAAATTCTTTTCAAGCACAACAGATTTCGTGTCCGGACTGATAAGGTTAACTTCAAACCTTCCAACCTGAGGGGAGGCAGGGTGGGGAGGGGGAGAAAAATAAGCCTAGTTTATGACTGTCTTGGAAGCACAATACTAACAGCACAAAAATGTCACAACCTAGACCTTTCTTGTTCACATAGAGTACCTTCAGCACACCAGCTTACTCAGCAGGAAAAAAAAACAAGGGTGCAATAATTCAGCGTATTTTGAGTAAGAATATTTCAGCAAGAACAATACACTCAGTTGAATAGGAAAAAGACTTGGAAAGAAGACAGCTTTTTTTTTTTTTCCTCTTCCCTTTTCTTTTTGATTTACTTTGGTCCAAAGATCACATGTCTGACAGACAATGCTAAAACGTGTAGTAAACATGTGACTACATAAAAAGCTGCAATAAAAAACAGAATTTGAAGGTTTTATTTTTTTTTAGTCTATACCATAGATCAGCAGATCAGCTGAGAAACTATGTTGATCATAAGGTGATACTTTTCGGTTTCATGATAATTCTGGATGAAAAAAAGTAGGTTCTGCAGCAATCTATCTTTTAGCTTACCCAAACTGATTCTTAAGCGTATGGAACTTATTCCATAGACCTCAGTGAGTTCTTCAGCTAAAGCCTTTTCATTACTAGTGATAGCTGCGGCTTTCTAAAGGACAAGGCATTCTCACTTCAGTTGGCATTTCCCCAAGAGAATAGAAGGCAAGAATGATCTTTAAAGCAAATGGAAAGACAAAACCCAGGCATTTAGCCCCCTGTTATTTTAAGGTCCAAAGATCTTTCCTTTTATGGGTCACCTCCTTTAAATGTCCTTTTGTTTTCTCAATACAAGCTCCAAAGATGTCAAATGCACTTCAGGCAAGAGAAAAAAGTAACTGTGAGGTCTGAAGGAAGAAGCCTTCAGTGCAGAGATGTTTAAGTATTCATCTGGAAAAGAGAAGCTGAACATTAATAAAAATTATCATAAAGGGGCTAGTTCAAACATAAGGCTGTGAAAGCCTTATGTGAAGTTGCGAGCTTCTTTTTAATTGCACAAAAAAGGATTTGCTCACATGGAAATCTAAATCAACTCTCTTTTTGAAAGAATACTCAATTTTTTCAGCTAGGTCCTAAATCTCACCAATGCAGACAAACCAAAACTGCATATAAAATAATTATTTCCCTAGAAACACTGCTTCTAAGTAATTACTCCATAAGTAATTTCTTTTTCTTAAAACTTACCTGAGCTCATGAGTTCAGGTGACTTCCTTTAGAAAGTTCAGCTACTTGTGTTCCAATCATTTATGAACAGACACATAAATATTTATGACAAACCACCATACTACTCATCTTGCAAAACGTGCCTCAGCTTCAAACTGCACAAGAGAAGATATGGTGCAAAACCAACATGAAACCGCTCATCCTAGTACACACCTGGAATAACATTGTCCTGTTCTTCTCAGAATCAGAGGGCTGAACATGACTGGGTGCACTTGCATGTCTTCTGCGTGGCTGTATTTTCAGGTTTGTGTCATGAACCCTTCTTTGCATAACTGCAGTAACACTGCTGCACCGAGAGCGAAACTCTTGCTGTTCATCAAAGCCAGAGTCCTCTAGAATTCGCTCTGGAAAGGAGCCACGAGTGCTGGCCAGGTTGGTCAAGTTGGTCTGGCTGCCGACTGTAAACATTGCAGCATGCCCTGCAGCGTTATCTGGGCTGTCCAGCTCCTCAAATGGGCTATCCGATGGAGAAGCTGGCAGGTTTCCTTCACACAGGGGTAAGTCCAAACTTGACTCGTTATTCCGCTGCTCATTTAATAGTTTCAGGCGCTGGCGCTCATGAAGGCTGAATTTCTCAATGCAATCATCAATTAGGGTGGAGGGAGCTTTCTTGTGAGCCACCGTCACCTTTCCACAGTACAAGACCTCGAATTTTTGAGAGTCATAGAAGGCATCTTCACTATCCTTACTTGGTTTGGCATCTTCTTTCAGTGCTGCTTTGGAGACTTGTCTTATGCTGCTGATGACATCAGGAACCTAAGGGGTAGTGTGAAAGGTCTGTTTAGTAGCCACAAATGAGATAGCACAGACAGTGATACATCCAACATTTGATAATGTAAGTATTTACACAAGTTACTTCTTCAGTAGAGTGCTGCTAGCTTCTTGGCTGACAATATAAAAATAGTAAATTATAAATTCTGTATAGACAATGTATGCAGTATAAGCAAAGTAAATAATTTCTAATTTTTTCACTGGAATTTATTTCAGTGAAACAAACGTAAGGTTTTAAATTACCAGGTCTACTAACAAATGTTCACACTTTTTTCTTTTTTTTGGGTAACTGAGACTGCCTTCTCATTTTTGTACCACTCTTCCCACATCAACATCTCTTGCTGATGTATGTTGCATAGGACCATCACTGTTTCTTTGGTTTTATTTTGCAGAGCAGACACTCCATTCTTAGGACATCTGCAGAAAGTTTTGTGAAAAAGAACCCAACAATCCCCATCAGTTTTAATTGACAGGTATGAAATACAAGCATCTGGAAACTTTACTGAAGTACTATGTATACAGCTGCATTAGCTCTTGTTAATTACCTGTTAAAGAAACCTCACCCATCCATCCTATGACATAGCTTACTTCAAGGTCACACTTCCCTGCTGTCTCAGTAATCATGCAATTAAGAAGCACACCCAATCTCTCTTCTCTTCCATCATTCTTACCTACAGATTCCTACTATGTCCTTTAAGGCCAAACTGCATATCTCCAGCAGAAACTCTTGATTTCAGCCCTGTATTACTGAGTTCTTTTAAGGCCACCTGGTTCTTCCTCCATTTTATCTCAGTCAACTTGGGAGGATGCTTGCCTTCAGTATCAGCGTATTTAATATGCAAGCTCCTTTTTCACTTCACCTTCACTCAAGAAAATAAGGACTTGTCTGACTCCACTGACCACAGAACAGAGTGATTCTATTGCTCTTCTGACAGCACCTACCTCTGCTTAACCAGACCTGTTTCTCACCAGGTCTCATCTCCTCTGGAAGGATAATGAATGGCATCACATTACATGCACTGGGGAAGTTACTAGTCAAAATAAGATCAAGAGAGAATATCTATCTGATTTTTTTTGCAAGAGAAATCGGTTCTCAACATTCTTCTAATCTAATACAATCAATCAACAGCTTTTGTATTCCACACAGCTTCCAACCATATCTATAATACTTGATAATTTGTTTCAAAATATTTTTCCTATTAAAAAAAGGTAACTCAAGTCACATCTTAGTAAATAATCCATGCTCCCTCCAGTATCTCTTTCTTTCAGTTGTGTGACACCAGTTGAAACTTGCTAATGAGGCAGTAATCTCGTATGCCAATACTTTTGCAAGTCACAGTGGAAAACTACCTTTTCTTAATCACTGTCTCCTGTTCCACACTCATCCATTGGGCATTCAACTCAAATCTGCTTCCAGCTCATTTATTGCAAAATGAAGTTCAATTACCCTAAGATCTACTGACTGTTTGGCTTTCATCCCTATAGATGTCATCATCATCTCAGTTTTCAGTGAGGCTAAAAGTTATGTCTTCTGACACAGATACTAGAGTTTATTTAATCTTCACTCATTCTCACTACCAGGCTGCTTTACCATCGCCCAAGGGGCGCTTCCTCCCAGCCCTGCCAGCTCAGCTGAACATGGACAATTCTCACTTTACACATGCTGGTTCATATTCCAAGATGCAGTTCTTTTTCCGCTGATTAGTCTTCTTACTCTTTCTATGGTCTGTACTTAAAGAAGCTCTAGAGTTTAAATCCCTTAGCTCTCTATTTTGGCAAAATTCACAAGCTAGCTGTCTTTTAATTAACATTTCTCATTTTAGAATCCAGAACCTGTTGCAGGACAACTGACCCATATTTCTAATCAAAGTACAGTGACAAATGATAATTCTACTCAAAATGTGTAAATTCTACACGCAAATCAGCTAGAATAAACAATGTCAGCTGTTTAATCGGCAATTTGGATTTTTAAAAAAGTGTACCATCACTTCTGCTCCAATAACTGGGTTCTGCCACTTGCTCATCACTTCTAAAAGACTGGAGAAGAAATTCTTAAGTCTTTCTAATAATACCCAACAGCCTCCTAACACATCCTATCCCCCACTTCCCTGCCAGCGAGTGTCCAAATAAGCTGGGGATAAGACACTATGAACTCTACCACAATAGGATTCCTCATCCATCCCTTTCTCTCTCTCAGAGATCTCCCCTAAAAATATACACACAGAGTTTTAAGCAATCACAATTCTATCTAAAAAACCCACCCTGCCATCCTGCTATTTATCACTTGGTTTTATTTCCATCTTTTCCAGATTGTGCGTACTCTTCAGACACTAGTATTTGAGTCACAATTACTATTCCACAATCCCTGCTCCCTGTATAGCTTTTGCTTCTACCTACCACATAAATCGCTGCAGTATTTTCACTTCAGCATAGAGGGATCCTGGCATTAGAGCAGAGGTTTCAGCTCATACTGCCCAACCCATCCTTATTCCCTATTTTGTTTAGATTTTTTTTTTTTTTACAGTTATGTTATTTTTTTAGAGGGCACTCTCAACAGTATTCACTTTTTTCCTATTTTTCTACCTATCCACAGAACTAAAGTGATAAATCAAGGTGAAAAATTGAGACCCATTTAATCTCCGTAGTTATGAATACTTTTCTGATATACAGATGAAGAGGAAAACAATGTAATACAGGGATATCAAAAGGGATAAGACATCTCTGTCAGACGGTCCAGAACGAGTTCCAGGTGCCTGTTGGTTGGTTCATGGATTCTCTAGATAGTAAGGTTTGAAAAATAGCTTCAATTATTAGATGCAAGACAGATACTAACATTGCTAAGCTATTAGCCATACATGTGGATTTTACTGTCTTTAGTGTACAGGAATAACTTTACTGATGATGATGTGCCAGCTTGCAGTGTTAGACCTGACCCTCTTCACTCCCAGAGTGATACTACCTTATCAAGAACCAAGTGCTACTGTAATCTGATCAGGTATGTCTCAGATGACAATATTTCCATTTAATGTTTTGACTTTGGGCAAAAAAAACATAACTGGGATCAAGTGCAGTCTAAACAAGAGTTTGCATCTATATTTTCCTGAAACGCAAGATACAGGAAAAGTTACACAATTATCAAGCACAGCAACCATCCCAGTGTGGCTTTTTACAGATTTCTTTGGCATGTATCGTTGGTTTTTGACATTTTGCTCCTCTGTATATCAAGAAGCCCCAGTCACAAAAGTTTCACCATCAAAGTTGTGTCACTTTTGGGGATTTGGGTATTAGCTTATTACTTGTTAATGTTGAAACTGCAGGTCAAAGTTAGACAAGATAGTAAGCAGAATGGAGATTTTAAAATACTGAATTAACAGGATAAAACTGTTTAACTATTTTCAGAAATCCATTTAGTAATATTAAGAAGATAGACTCCTGAAACATTCAATACTTATTAGTGTGTTTCCAAGTTCTAGTATTTCCGTGCAGAAGTCTCATGAAATTAAGCAGTCAAAGGGCAGAAATGAGATTCTTATTCCTGAAACCCACAGAGCCAGAGCAGATCTTCCTGGACATATACTACCAGCTGTTAGAGTAGAGCAAAACAAAAAGGTTAAATGAGTTATCACATAAGGATTCAGGTGAATGCTGAAAAACTAAAATATTTAAGCAATTAATCTCTTTAACATATGCAGAATTTTTGTCATCAAGCCTTGAAGATAGTTATGTCAAAGAGGCAGACTGGAGCAGAGTGGGATAGGCAGTGTATTTGCAGGGCGAGAGGCACACTTCCAGCCCGAATGAACCCAGTGGTGCTAGTGCTGGGAAATGCAAGAAGACTTAATTCTCCCATGCTTTGCCTCTCCCAAGTCCTATAGTCTAAGAGCCTTTGACCTTTCTCCAAATATTGCTGGACAGAGAAGGAGAAGATGACTACGTCCCAAAGGGAGTTGCAGAGGGCTTCTCAGGCAGAAAGGCAGGAGCCGGTAGTGCCATGCCAGGACAACAGTTGTGAAACCAGAAGGAGAAAGCAGAAGCATAATGTAGGTCACGCCTACAGGTGTTATTTACGAAATTTCCCTAAAGTGTTGAGGAGTAGCAGACTGTGACATGAAGCAGAACAAGGCAGTTACCAAAAAAAAAAAAAAATTAAAAAGTACAGTGACAGGACAATACAAGCTTGTTAGAGATAGACATATTCCCAGTCTATACAAATTATACTATAAGCATCTTAAACTGACATTCTAAATGTTAATTGTCCTATATATTTATTGACCACAGAATGTGAAAAATGTATTAACTTTAAATGCTTAAAAGAAGAGGATGAGCTCCCAAAACAGAAGCTGCAAGGTCCTTAAGAGTTAAACCCAGATGCACACAGATCACCACGCAATAAAACTGCAAAGTTGTCAGAAAAACAAACAAAATTCCTGACAAGCTTCTTGAAGAACTAGATAGGTATGGTATATTATCTACATGAAGGAACTAAACAACACACTCAAATATGCTGCAAGAGCACACAAAGCTCTCTCCTGGGCTGCATCAAAACAAGTGTGGCCAGCAGATCAAAGGAAGTCTCCACTCCATTCTCGTGAGACCCCACCTGTGTTCAGCTCTGGGACCCCCAGCACAAGACAGACACGGACCTGTTGATACGAGCTCAGAGGAGGGCCACGAAGATGATTAGGCGTTGGAGCACCTCCCCTATAAGGACAGGCTGAGAGAGATGAGGTTGTTCAGCCTGGAGAAGGCTCCAGGGAGACCTTCTAGAGGCCTTCCAGTGCTTCAAGGGGGCCTACAGGAAAGATGGGGGGGGACTTTTTATCAGGGAGTGTAGTGATAGGATGAGGGGTAATGGTTTCAAACTGCAAGAGGGAAGATTTAGATCAGCTATTAGGAAATAAGTTCTTTACTGTGAGGGTGGTGAGACACTGGAACAGGTTGCCCAGAGAAGCTGTGGCTGCCCCCTCCCTGGCAGTGTTCAAGGCCAGGTCAGATGGGGCTTAGAGCAACCTGATCTAGCGGAAGGTGTCCCTGCCCATGGCAGGGGGGTTGGAACTAGATGATCTTTAAGGTCCCTTCCAAACCAAACCATTCTATGGTTCTAATACAACAGTGACCTCATGCTTAAACAGTTACAGGCACACTGAGCTTTGTCAGGTATTAATAAATTAATACCATACAAAATGGATGCAAGAGCTCCAGATGAGCTTTCTTCCCTTCCAGGATGTCAACAGCTATACACGCCTGTCAGAAAACAACAGCAGCACATTAACTTTGACACCCTTGAAACACTGCTCATAGTAACTCCTAAGTCTCTGAATAGAACCAAAAGAACTCAGAAGAGCAGAGATCCTTTTTCAAGGCCTGTACCAAAAGCCCCACAAATGCAACAGGCCAAAGGGACAAGGGTGGACAGTGGGTACCATAAGTACAAAACTAGACCTGTGATACTAGTTTGGCTCCTCTGTGTGTGGAACACTCCAAAACATGGTTGAGGAGGAAGAAAAACCCCAACACAACAACAACAAAAATCCTACCAAAACTAAACAAACAGGACTGCAAACTAAGAGGGAAGTAAAAAGAGCTCCATAGTGACATCAAAGAGGCAGTATTTCACTCCAGGGAAACGTGATCAATCTAATAAGTCTAATTAAAGGAAAAAAATCCACCACACTTGGGAATCCAAACTAAATTTGTTATTATTCATATTTGAGTAACCTAAGATTGTATGAATCACTCTTCACTCAATTAGATCTGATTCAATATGTGGCGATTCAATAAGTCAGCTGTACTCAAATCAGAATAAATGGCACTGGTCAAGTTCTGCATCACCTACAATAAGATTCAGCTCTGATATACAACGTAAGAAGTAAAGCCTGATAGGTGTTACACTGTCACACACTTCAGTACAGACAGTAGAGGTTTGGTAAGCTGAAACTAATGACAGCGTTAATTTTAGCCAAATGGTCTCTCAATCTATTCCATTTGCACGTCACACCCCCTTTGCCCCATGGCCCCCATGACCCTGGTAACAGACCTTATCAGCTACTGCAGTACATCACCCATTTGGCCAGCTAGTGCAGAATAAGGCTGCAGCACTCAGCCCTGGCTAGAAGACATATATTAATACCCTAGATCTGCTAATTCCAGCTCTGCAGGTCATGGGCTCCATTCACTTCTGTCCCTTGTGACTACACCTACAACTGGGTCAACACATAATGGAGAGCAAACACCTTCCTCATGCCTAAGTAGTACACTGTTCAAAGTGCTTGTGAATAGTACTGCCATAAACTATTCTACTATACATCAAGAACCTTCACTGTGTTCAATGCAGAAATGAATTTTCCTGCTGGAAACATCAGTTTTACTGATGTAACTAATACAAGGTCTTTCATCTGACTTGATTAAAACCAAAGTCAGGATTAAAACCAAAGAGAGGACTACAAGAAAATAATTAACACCAAATTCAAACTTTCTTCGCAGGTCTTCTTATGTCACCCAACTAGGTTTTTGTTAAAACTAATTCCAACTTTATCAATCCTGCCTTAAACCCCCCCCAAAAGAACTTCAGCTAAGAGGTATTTATCAACAATATCTTGAAGTTGAAAAAAAGAAAGGCTATCAAGCCTACTAAATCATGCATGCTGCAGCATAACACCAGAACAGTTTGTCACAATTCTAGAATAAGCAGAGTATCTCCTTGGTGCTACTACACACTTTCTTGAATAGCAGTGACAGAAGTTGAAGCATTAAAAAAAAAATTATATATATATATATATATACACACTCCCTTTGAATTTAAAACAGCCTCCAGTAAACAAAGGTGGAGCTCCCCTCTTTGCTGGAGGGATAACATTCAAATGCATCCCACACTAATTACCGATCAGTGCTTTCAATGTTAAGCCAAACTTAGAACTTGAACACCATGGATATTGCAAAGAACAAAATTCACTTGTTGTATATCATTATTTCCACAGCTGGGTAGAATTTCACTGTGCATAGAAGCTGCAGATCTTGTTAGTTTGTTTCTAGCTTCCACAGGAAAATTGCAGTCTGGAATTTATTAACAAAGCAAAGCCCCTCTTCATACCATAAGGCTTATAAACATTAGCGTGACTGTGAAGTACTGATCTAACAAACATGCCTAACAAATCTGGCTACTTAACGACAGCAGTTCTAGCAAGGCAATTATTTTCAAAGCAAGGAAGAAGCTCAGCCCCTCTCGCTCCATTACCACATGAAGTGCAGTAGGAGATCCCTTCCACCATACAGAGACACGAGATGAATGAACTTCACACACACACACACGTTAGCAGCGGTCAGTACCTTCTGGTGTGGGATCCAGTTCAGAAGCACAGGCATGTCCAAGTAAAACTGTCACCGAACTTTAGTGTCACAAACATGAGAACTCAGGAACAGATTCCTGGGATAAGTGAGCGCAGAAAGATCCCCCTCTCACAAAGGGCTGGCAGTGCTGTCGCAGCACTTCCTCCGGCTCGGTTCGTGATTATCATGGCACAGCCAGAGCTCTGTGCAGCAACCGTTATGCATCAAAAGCCAAGTATTTCCTGACTTCGGGCTGGAAGAACCCGCGCTGCCTGGGATTTGAATAACGAGTCCCACTCATGATCTAGCTATGTATACTTAAAAACAAACAAAAGAGAAACAGGATACTACCCAGAAATCAACATCCCGTGCTTTGGTAATTACTGAAAGAGTTTGACAACTATCAATTAGAAACCAGTGCAATGTGAGAAAAAATTAGGAGCTATTGGACATGACTCTGCTTCCAGTTAGTATTAAGGTGCATATCCACAAGACAGGAGAACCCAGCCACAGCACTGAACCATGAACAGAGACAAAATAAGCCACATACAGTGTCCTGCTATGTATCAGGCATTCGACACCAAGGTGAAGTTGTTATCCTACACAAAAACACACTCAAATGCCAGCCAAAGTACAGATATCAATAACTATTCTCAACCAGAATGAAGGGTAGGAAAGGGTAATTTTTTTTTCTTTTAACTGCTATCTAGTTAGTACAGAACTGATCATCCAGGCCTTTTGTACTACTAAATCTACAGCAGTCTGTTACTTTACACACTGCTGACAGTGCTTCACTTAACAGTTTTCACCATTAAAAACACATCTTTCTGATAAAGAGACAAAAGACCAGCTCAGAGTGATTGAATGTACACAGTCACACAAGCCATTTGTTGACTTTGTTTATGCTAGAGATGTTCAGTATCTAGAACAGAAGAATTTGTCTCCATCGGCTGACTTAGTGCTGAAGGAATACCAACCATCTTCAGTTTTACAGAAAAGAGGAGGATTTGTAGCCAAGAGAAACACTATCACAAAGAGAAAAGAATAACTGAATTGCTAAGCATTTCTATAACCCACCTGCACTTAGTGTACTTCTAAATATACAGTTTAGAAAACACAAAGTCAGGTTCTCAGCAGGCAGTAATAAGCATCTGCCATCAACTCCAATCCATTCTGCTGCGAGTCTGGGCTAACACAACACAAGCCCACTAGCAGGAAAGCTGGAACACAGGGAGGGACTAGCAAAGAAAGACCCAATGAAAGCAGCTTTTGGCACTTCAAGCTGACTGTCACCCCTGGTAGCTAGTGCTTTCATGTTTCTGCTGTTCTCTACAGGTTCATGAGTATAGCCAAAGCCTACAGCAACGGAAAAAAAACCCACACGAGGAGCAAGCCAAAAACCCATTAAAAAATTGCCTATAATAAAGTTTTGCTTTCAGGAGACAATCTTCCTCCTATTTGCCTTGCTTATATTTTTTTCCCAGGTGACTGGTCAGAACCCAATTAGGTTTGCTTCTAAAGAACTACTACGGAGCATTCAACCTCATGCCATATGTTGGGGAG